AGTAACTGTAGGCATGTGAGAGGAATAGTAGCATGCACAGTGACAGTAACTGTAGGCATGTGACAGGAAGACTAGCATGTACACTGACAGTAACTGCTGACATGTGAGAGGAAGACTAGCATGTACACTGACAGTAACTGCTGACATGTGAGAGGAAGACTAGCATGCACACTGACAGTAACTGCTGACATGTGACAGGAAGACTAGCATGTACACTGACAGTAACTGTAGACATGTGAGAGGAAGACTAGCATGCACACTGACAGTAACTGCGGGCATGTGACAGGAAGACTAGCATGCACACTGACAGTAACTGCTGACATGTGACAGGAAGACTAGCATGTACACTGACAGTAACTGTAGGCATGTGAGAGGAAGACTAGCATGTACACTGACAGTAACTGTAGGCATGTGAGAGGAAGATCTAGACTAGCATGCACACTGACAGTAACTGCTGACATGTGACAGGAAGACTAGCATGTACACTGACAGTAACTGTAGGCATGTGACAGGAAGACTAGCATGTACACTGACAGTAACTGCTGACATGTGACAGGAAGACTAGCATGTACACTGACAGTAACTGCTGACATGTGACAGGAAGACTAGCATGTACACTGACAGTAACTGCTGACATGTGACAGGAAGACTAGCATGTACACTGACAGTTACTGCTGACATGTGACAGGAAGACTAGCATGCACACTGACAGTAACTGCTGACATGTGACAGGAAGACTAGCATGTACACTGACAGTAACTGTAGGCATGTGAGAGGAAGACTAGCATGCACACTGACAGTAACTGTAGGCATGTGACAAGAAGACTAGGATGTACACTGACAGTAACTGTAGGCACGTGACAGGAAGACTAGGATGTACACGGACAGTAACTGTAGGCATGTGACAGGAAGACTAGCATGTACACTGACAGTAACTGTAGGCATGTGACAGGAAGACCAGGATGTACACTGACAGTAACTCTGACCTATTGATTAAAACATGAAGTATGTATAAGACATTTCTGTGTTCATTTATTGGGAACGAAAATGGATGAAAAGCGAAGAAAGATGAAACGTGAAACGTATATATGGCAACTCAATGTATGCAAATCAATGTACTTTTGAACCTGACTGAGTTCACCAGGGACCCTCTCATATGTTCCGTCAAATGCAATGAAATTTACCGAACATACAATCTTCGTTTACTAAAGAGATTCTGAAAAATTCAAAATGTCAACGGATTGAGAGACCACTTGACTTTTCTATAATTGTCTTCTTTTGTAACTGTTCCAAGCGAATCTCTTATATCACTGACGAGATGCTTCTGATAACAATACAACACGTTACTTCAGTGTCTGAGGCGGACCTCCTCGCCGCCAGTAATTATTACCGCCTACAGGCACAGATAGTCCAGTGTTCCAGCACCTACATTATGTGGGTCCACCACCCACCTTTTTATTATAACAGGAAGGTAGCTCCAGAGGGGGAGGTCCACCACGCACTTTGTTCATTAGAGGGGGAAGGCGGCACTAGAGGGGGAAGGCAGCACAGAGGGGAAGGCAGCACTGGGGGAAGAGGGGAAGGCAGCACTAGGGGGGAAGGCAGCAGCACTAGGGGGAAGGCAGCTGCAGAGGGGAAGGCAGCACTGGGGGAAGGCAGCACTAGAGGGGAAAGGCAGCACAGGGGGGGAGGCAGCACTGGGAGAGGGGAGGCAGCACTAGAGGGGAAGGCAGCACCAGGGGAAGGCAGCACAGGGGAAGGCAGCACTAAGAGGGGAAGGCAGCACCAGAGGGGAAGGCAGCACAGGGGGAAGGCAGCACTGGGGAAGGAGCACTGGAGGCAGCACTGGGGGAAGGCGGCACCAGAGGGGAGGCAGCACAGAGGGGAAGGCAGCACTGAGGGAAGGCAGCACCAGAGGGGAAGGCAGCACCTGAGGGGAGGAGCACAGCACTGGGGGAAGGCAGCACTGGGGAAGGCAGCACTAGAGGGAGGGCAGCACTAGGGGAAGGAGGCACTCAGAGGGGGAAGGCAGCACTGGGAGGGAAGGCAGCACTAGGGGGAAGGCAGCACTGGGAGGGGGGGAAGCACACTAGAGGGGAAGGCAGCACAGAGGTGGCTGGGGGAGGCACCCACTGGGGGAGGCAGCACTAGGGGGGAAGGCAGCACCACTGGGGGAAGGGGCACTGGGGAAGGCGCAGCACCAGCAGAGGGAAGGCAGCACTAGGAGGGGAAGGCAGCACTGGGGGAAGGCAGCACCAGAGGAGGAGGCAGCACTGGGGAGAGGGGAAAAGGCAGCACTAGGGGGAGGCAGCACTAGAGAAGGAAGGCACTAGGGGAAGGCAGCACCAGAGGGGAGGCAGCACTAGGGGAAGGCAGAAGGCAGCACTGGAGGGAGGGCGGCGCACTAGAGGGAGGAAGGCAGCACCTGGGGGAAGGCAGCACTAGAGGGAGGCACTAGAGGGAAGGCAGCACTGAGGGGAAGGCAGCACTAGAGGGGAAGGCAGCACCAGGGGGAAGGCAGCACTGGGGGAAGGCAGCACCTGGGAGAGGCAGCACTGGGGAAGGCAGCACTAGAGGGGAAGGCAGCACTAGAGGGGAAGGCAGCACTAGAGGGGAAGGCAGCACTAGAGGGGAAGGCAGCACTAGGGGAAGGCAGCACCTGGGGAGGCGGCAGAGGCAGCACTAGAGGGAGGCAGCACTAGGGGAAGGCAGCACTAGAGGGGGCACTGAGGGGAAGGCAGCACTAAGGGGAGAGGCAGCACGCAGAGGGGGAAGTGGCAGCACTGGGAAGGCAGCACTGAGGGGAAGGCAGCACAGAGTGGCAGGCTCCAGAGAGGAAGGCAGCACTAGAGGGGAAGGCAGCACTAGGGGGAAGGCAGCACTGGGGAAGGCAGCACTGCAGGGGGAAGGCAGCACTAGAGGGGGAAGGCAGCACTGGGGGAGAGGCAGGGGAAGGCAGCACTAGAGGGGAAGGCAGCACACCAGAGGGGAAGGCAGCACTCAGAGTGGGGGAAGGCAGCACTAGAGGGGAAGGCAGCACCAGGGGGAAGGCAGCAGGGGAAGGGGGAGGCAGCACTAGAGGGGAAGGTAGGAGGGGGAAGGCAGCACTAGGGGGGAAGGCAGCACTAGAGGAAGGGAAGGCAGCACTAGGGGGAAGGCAGCACTAGAGGGGAAGGCAGCACTAGAGGGGAAGGCAGCACTGGAGGGGAAGGCAGCACTAAAGGGGAAGGAGAATCCTTGGATCCACTGATAGATCTCCCATCTACCAGACTCACAGATTGTAATACAATACATATTACAGTGTGTTGTACACTTCTACAGCCGCGGGTTAGTATCGCCATTATGTGGGCTTATACCCGTGGTGGACTATCTGTAGAGAGTTTAGTTTCCAGCAATGTCCCAACAGAGGCAGCTAAAGGGAGTTATACACTGTACCCATGTGAGAACTCAGGTCTCCGGAGTGACTGACTTGGTTTGGTTTTACGCCGCTTTTAGCAATATTCCAGCAACAACACGGCGGGGGACACCAGAAATGGGCTTCACTCATTGCACCCATGTGGGGACTCGAACCCGGGTCTTCGGCGTGACGAGCCAACGCTTTAACCATTAGGCTACACCACCGTCCCCAGGTCTCCGGAGTTACGAAGGAACACTTGTCATGTTGCTTCACACAAGTAAACATCGGGCAGTCAGTATCAATCAGTCCCTAAAGGGGGAACACAGCCGTTTTCCGGAAACCATGTCCCGGTAGTTGCTATAGTTACAGGGTTAGGGGGTCCTCCTCGTGTACTCACTATATGTTTGTGTTTGCTACAGTTACAGGGTTAGGGGGTTCTCCTCGTGTACTCACTATATGTTTGTGTTTGCTACAGTTACAGGGTTGGGGGTTCCCACGTGTACTCACTATATGTTTGTGTTTGCTACAGTTACAGGGTTGGGGGGTTCTCCACGTGTACTCACTATATGTTTGTGTTTGCTACAGTTACAGGGTTGGGGGGTTCTCCACGTGTACTCACTATATGTTTGTGTTTGCTACAGTTACAGGGTTGGGGGGTTCTCCACGTACTCACCATATGTTTGTGTTTGCTACAGTTACAGGGTTGGGGGTTCTCCACGCACCTCACCATATATGTTTGTGTTTGCTACAGTTACAGGGTTAGGGTTCTCCATGTGCTCACTATATGTTTGTGTTTGCTACAGTTACAGGGTTGGGGGGTTCTCCACGTGTACTCACTATATGTTTGTGTTTGCTACAGTTACAGGGTTAGGGGTTCTCCACGTGTACTCACTATATGTTTGTGTTTGCTACAGTTACAGGGTTGGAGGGTTCTCCACGTGTACTCACTATATGTTTGTGTTTGCTACAGTTACAGGGTTGGGGGTTCTCCACTGTGTACCTCACTATATGTTTGTGTTTGCTTACAGGGTTGCAGATTTTACAGGGTTGGGTTCCGCTGTACTCCATGTTTGTGTTTGCTACACAGGGTTGGGGGTTCTATGTTTCACCTATATGTTTTGTTTACAGTTACAGGGTTGGGGGTTCTCCACGTGTACTCACTATATGTTTGTGTTTGCTACAGTTACAGGGTTGGAGGGTTCTCCACGTGTACTCACTATATGTTTGTGTTTGCTACAGTTACAGGGTTGGGGGGTCTCTCCACTATATGTTTGTGTTTGCTACAGTTACACTCCACATTATATGTTTGTGTGTTTGCTACAGTTACAGGGTTGGAGGGTTCTCCACGTGTACTCACTATATGTTTGTGTTTGCTACAGTTACAGGGTTGGAGGGTTCTCCACGTGTACTCATTATATGTTTGTGTTTGCTACAGTTACAGGGTTGGAGGGTTCTACACGTGTACTCATTATATGTTTGTGTTTGCTACAGTTACAGGTTTGGAGGGTTCTACACGTGTACTCACTATATGTTTGTGTTTGCTACAGTTACAGGGTTGTAGGGTTCTACACGTGTACTCACTATATGTTTGTGTTTGCTACAGTTACAGGGTTGGAGGGTTCTCCTTGTCCCATCTCATCGCTGCCTTCATTGTGACAGCAGTGTTTGCCTTTGTGGTGTACCTTCTGTGGGACTGTTCGTGCAAACGGAAGAAGGATGAGGAGCGGCACCGTCTGAGTCCAGAGTCCCACAGGATTGACACAAAGACTATGTACGCCCTGGAGCTGGAACCTGGCGTTGTTCTCCTACAGAGTCAGGACGGCGAGTTCTTCAGGATCCTGCACGAGTACGACGCTGTCAAACACGCACGTGATTATGGAACAGCGCCACCTGGTGGTGTGGCTTTGCAAGGGCAGACGATCCATTATATTCCCAACTACACCCGTGCTCACATGCAGACCCAAGCGTCTGCCCCCCAACCCGCTGAAGAGCTAATGGTGTGGGACGGCCAGACTTCCCCTCCCCCGTATCAGTAACAGAAGACACCAGTTTCTCACCTTTATTTTTCCTCATTTGCTAAATCCGTTATTTCTGTCTTTTTTAAAAAGATAGACAGTACCCCTGGCGTGATTGAAGACTGGTACAGCATGAGTGATTGATGATGATATAATATCCTCATATTTAGAACTCGGACTAGAGAAAATATACCGCCGTTTGAAGTTAATAAGGGATAATATTACGGTGATGCGCAAAAATACAAAAAGAAAGTGCCTTAGCAACATAATTAAAATAACATTCTTCAAGTTGTCTCAACGTCCCGTGAATGTCCTGGACAAGGTATATACGGGTTGTCAACTGACTTGTAACTGACTAACTGGCTTGTAATCTTATTAACTGGCTTGTAACTGTCTAACTGCGGGATAAAACACGTGTAACGCTTGGTCACCTACACAAATCCATATATCGTGTTGTGTCATTATTTCTTGGATACATGTACTCCGGTACACTGATGAATCTCAGCCCTGTATGTGAGTACCACGTCGACAACAGAGGACAGCCCTGTATGTAAGTATCACGTCGACAACAGAGGGCAGCCCTGTATGTGAGTTTCACGTCGACAACAGAGGACAGCCCTGTATGTGAGTATCACGTCAACAGAGGACAGCCCTGTATGTGAGTACCACGTCGACAACAGAGGACAGCACTGTATGTGAGTATCATGTCTATAATAGAGGACAGCCTTGTATGTGAGTATCACGTCGACAACAGAGGACAGCCCTGTATGTAAGTATCACGCCGACAACAGAGGACAGCCCTGTATGTTAGTACCACGTCGACAACAGAGGACAGCCCTGTATGTAAGTATCACGTCGACAACAGAGGACAGCCCTGTATGTGAGTATCACGTCGACAACAGAGGACAGCCCTGTATGTGAGTATCACGTCGACAACAGAGGACAACCCTGTATATGTCAGTATCACGTCGACAACAGAGGACAGCCCTGTATGTCAGTATCACGTCGACAACAGAGGACTTTTCCTGCTCGCGTGGCTGTGGTTTCATTGCACATTCAGTTGAAGGGAATATGAATTTATACACGACTGATATGTCCTCAGTGTTATCCCACAAGTTTGCAGTATAGTATGTAGCACATTGTCGACATAGGAATGATTGCTGTATAGTATGTAGCACATTGTCGACATAGGAAAGTTTGCAGTATAGTATGTAGCAAAATGTCGACATAGGAAAGTTTGTAGTATAGTATGTATAACATTGTCGACATAGGAAAGTTCAGTGTAAGGATAACAGACGTATATGATGTTGTTTAACGCCGCAGTTAGAAATGTTCCATGTGTGGAGTTGTTAACGTAGGAAAGTTCAGTGTAAAGATAATAGACTATACATGAATGGGGAACAATAACACTCAGCGGAAGAAAGAGAAGTTAATGTGAACGCGATGGAGATTAACATTGTATATCCAATTTGTGTAGAAGTTATTAGGGGAAGGGAACCCTCGGCAGCTTCGTATCTTCCTGCAAGTTTCCCTCTGAAGTACAGGATCAGATCTGACATTATGGAGGAGACAGAGTATCACCGCTAAATGATTAAATGAAACAGGAGAACTAACTTGTATTATAGTATTGAAATATATTTTTTTCACAGCATCGATTTTGTCGATAAGCTAAAACCAGAAACAAAACATAATAGGGCTATGTTATACACGGATCTCTGTTGTCATTGTGAGCAAACAGGGTTTAAATTGGCGTGTACTGAAGTCTTTGTAATTAAGCGTGATGATATATTGACACAACGATACGGTAGCTGTCTGCCTTTGTCGTACCAACTCACATCAGCTAAATTAAAACATCTCAGGTGGAAGTGTCAGGTGACTCGGCGATGTCTGTCGACTACCGGGGATTCTGTGTCTTCTACTTACTGAATACATGATTACTTGGAGTAGAGAAACAAATGTTTCATTGCGCTAATCGAGGTAGCGATATACCATCAGACTTGACAAACACTGACTAAAGAGACGAAATTGTCAACACATTTATTATCTTCTATGTATTTATATGCTATATATTACCAGTTTAATGTTTGTTCGACGGCCTGTGAATAATATTGAGTGAGTGAGTGAGTGAGTTTGGATCAGATAGTACAACGACTGACACAGTGATCCACACAGCCATAGTACAGTCTACATGGAGTGAGTGAGTCTTGATCAGACAGTACAACGACCGGTACAGTGATCCACACAGCCCAAATACAGTCTACATGGAGTGAGTGAGTGAGTCTGGATCAGATAGTTCAACAACTGATGCAGTGATCCACACAGTCCAGGTACAGTCTACATGGAGTGAGTGAGTGAGTGAGTGAGTCTGGATCAGACAGTACAACGACCGGTACAGTGATCCAAACAGTCAACGTACAGTTTACATGGAGTGAGTGAGTGAGTCTGGATCAGACAGTACAACGATCGGTACAGTGATCCCCACAGTCAAAGTACAATCTACATGGAGTGAGTGAGTGAGGCTGGATCAGACAGTACAACGACCGGTACAGTGATCCACACAGTCCAAGTACAGTCTACATGGAGTGAGTGAGTGAAAGTACAACGACTTATACAGTGATCCACACAGCTCAAGTACAGTCTACATGGAGTGAGTGAGTGATGAGATGATTACCTCCCCTGGTGAATAGACACACTGTTCACTGCAGAACAAATAATTTCAAGAAATTACAAAATCAAAAAAGGCTGGACGGTTGACAAATTGTTCACGTGTACGTAAGTACCCAGTGAGTGATCTGAGAGAAGTCATGATCGACCTACAGACCTACAGAGCTAGGATTGGACATTTAGTCCAACCACCTGGGTCGTGACAGGTGAGACATGTCGCCATTGAATATACACCGTTTACATCTGCGTCTGATATGCCGCTCTGTTAACGGTACGCTTAATGCTATACACAATTAATACATCTGCGTCTGATATGCTGCTCTGTTAACGGTACCCTTAATGCTATCCACCGTTTACATCTGTGTCTGATATGCCGCTCTGTTAACGGTACCCTTAATGCTATACACCGTTTACATCTGCGTCTGATATGCCGCTCTGTTAACGGTACCCTTAATGCTATCCACCGTTTACATCTGTGTCTGATATGCCGCTCTGTTAACGGTACCCTTAATGCTATACACCGTTTACATCTGCGTCTGATATGCCGCTCTGTTAACGGTACCCTTAATGCTATACACAATTAATACATCTGCGTCTGATATGCCGCTCTGTTAACGGTACACTTAATACTATACACCGTTTACATCTGCGTCTGATATGCCGCTCTGTTAACGGTACCCTTAATACTATACACCGTTTACATCTGCGTCTGATATGCCGCTCTGTTAACGGTACCCTTAATGCTATCCACGGAGTGAGTGAGTGATGAGATCATTGCCATCCACCATGGCATTCAGATGCGGGGATCATTATGCTAGTATTGGATTTAATCTCCTTGATTCACACTCATTTGAACACAACTGTGCATACACTCGTGACGTCACAGATCACTTAACCATGAGAAATGAAGCGTATGTTTGTAGTGTACTGTAGTCTCGCGGGTCTATCACATCAGCAAGTGTGGTTAGACTCCAGATACTTCTGTCTAGTGTACTGTCGTCTCGCGGGTCTATCACATCAGCAAGTGTGGTTGGACTCCAGATACTTCTGTCTAGTGTACTGTCGTCTCGCGGGTCTATCACATCAGCAAGTGTGGTTAGACTCCAGATACGTCTGTCTAACGATATGGACCAACCCAGGCCCAGCATATAACCTCAGATATAACCTCAGATATAACCTCAGATATATAACCTCAGATATAACTTCAGATATAACTTCAGATATAACCTCAGATATAACCTCAGATATAACCTCAGATATATAACCTCAGATATAACCTCAGATATAACTTCAGATATAACCTCAGATATAACCTCAGATATAACCTCAGATATATAACCTCAGATATAACTCTCAGATATAACCTCAGATATAACCTCAGATATATAACCTCAGATATAACCTCAGATATAACTTCAGATATAACCTCAGATATAACCTCAGATATATAACCTCAGATATAACCTCAGATATAACCTCAGATATAACCTCAGATATAACCTCAGATATATACCTCAGATATAACCTCAGATATAACTTCAGATATAACCTCAGATATAACCTCAGATATAACCTCAGATATAACCTCAGATATAACCTCAGATATAACCTCAGATATAACTTCAGATATAACCTCAGATATAACCTCAGATATAACCTCAGATATAACCTCAGATATAACCTCAGATATATAACCTCAGATATAACCTCAGATATAACCTCAGATATAACTTCAGATATAACCTCAGATATAACTTCAGATATAACTTCAGATATAACCTCAGATATAACTTCAGATATAACCTCAGATATAACTTCAAGATATAACTTCAGATATAACTTCAGATATAACTTCAGATATAACTTCAGATATAACCTCAGATATAACCTCAGATATAACCTCAGATATAACCTCAGATACAACTTCAGATATAATCAGATATAACCCTTTGATATAACTCCTCAGATATAACGGCTTCAGATATAACTTCAGATATAACCTCAGATATATAACCTCAGATATATAACCTCAGATATAACCTCAGATATAACTTCAGATATAACCTCAGATATAACCTCAGATATAACCTCAGATATATAACTCAGATATAACTTTGATGCTCTTCAGATATCAGATATAACCTCAGATATATAACCTCAGATATAACCTCAGATATAACCTCAGATATAACCTCAGATATAAACCTCAGATATAACCTCAGATATAACCTCAGATATAACCTCAGATATAACCTCAGATATAACCTCAGATATAACTTCAGATATAACCTCAGATATAACCTCAGATATAACCTCAGATATAACTTCAGATATAACCTCAGATATACCTCAGATATAACCTCAGATATAACTCTCAGATATAACCTCAGATAT